AAAACAGGAAACAGAGCTGGACTTAGTAGATGTTTTTAGGGAGTAGAAGTAAACCTGGATAGTGGCACAAGTAACAGGATTGATAGCTTTTGTCTGGGCCAGGAGCCCTGGTGGCACCGTGGTGAAGACCTCACCTGCTAATAAAAGGTTGGCAGTTCGAATCCACCAGCTGCTACTTGGAAACCCTATGGTAGACTCTGTCCTATAGGGTCCCTATGAGTCAGAATTGACTTGACAGCAATGGGTTTTTGACTGAACAGTGGGCACAATGTACGTTTAGGCCATCCAGTCTTTTACTGGCCATTGTCTGCTTAAAGTAATAACAAAGTGATGTCTATAAAGTATTCGAATTGCGCTCTCATAACAAGTCCTGTGGAGCGTTTTATGTCCTCTCTAAGGGAGTTGTACTAAGCAGGATAGATGAGGCGAATGGATGGTTGATGACCGCGGTGGCAGTTGCTACAAAGCAAACTGAAATGGACCAGCCCTTGCTAGGAGGGTAGAAGAAACACTTTCAACACTGAGACATTGTTACACATGGAATTACTGTGGCCTACTGGCAAAGCAACGTAGCCACCATCTTCGCCTGACTCCCACAAGCTGAGTACCCTCATCATCACCACTAAGGACTGAGATGATGGGGCCACCCTTGCTTGCTGCGCTCACTCATCTCCTATGGGCCAAAGCTGTGCGATCAAAGGCCCTCTGCTCAACACACTTTTCCCCCTAATAGAGATCTATTGAAATGAGCCCACCACCAGTCAGTCAGTTTGTTGTACTGTGGTGGCTTGTGTGTTGCTATGATGCTAGAAGCTATGCCACCGGTATTTCAAATACCAGCAGGGTCACCGATGGTAGACAGGTTTCAGCAGAGCTTCCAGGCTAAGACAGACTAGGAAGAAAGGACTGGTGATCTACTTCTGAAAATTAGCCAATGAAAACCTTATGGTTTACAACAGAATATTGCCCAACAGAACCCTGGAAGATGAGCCCCGTAGGTTGGAAAGCACTCATAATACACAGCGGTCACAACAATGGACTCAAGTATACCAGTGATCATGAAAATGACGCAGAACTGGGCAAGATTTTCTGTTGTACATGGGGTCGCCATGAGTCAGAGCAGACCCTATGGCAACTGAATTAAATGCATATATTCCCAGGAGTGGGGATATGTGCATTTAAGTTACTTAAATTAACCAAAGAATCTAAAGATATGGTACCAAACTCTGCCATGAAAGCAGATTTTGAGAGAGACTAGGAGAATAAGGAAGGAGCCCTGGGGGCACAATAGTCGCCAACCAAAAGGTCAGTGGTTCAAACCCACCCGCCGCTCCCCAGGAGAAAAGACCTAGGGGTCTTCTCTGCTCCTGTAAAGATTACAGCTTCGGAAGCCCTATGGGGCAGTTATAGTCTGTCATATAGAGTGGTTATGAGTCAGAATTGATTCAGCGGCACCTAACAATAACAACAGAAGAGTAAGTAAGAAGTTAACCTAGAAACCTAAAGAAGCCCGAGAGAAGGGACTTCAAGGACAGGAGAGAAAAAAAAAAGTGGCTGGAGCTGCCAAGGTCAAGCCGTGTCCTCTGTGTTCACAGTGTTGCTCATAGCCCAGAGCTTCTCTAAGCTGACAGTGCACAGGAGTCCCCTGGCCTCGAGAAGATGCAGATTCTGGGGCAGGAGGTCTGGGGCGGTGCCTGAGAATCTTCATTTTGGACGCACTCCCAGGCGTTGCCTATGCTTCCGGACCAGGAACTACACTTGAAATGTGGGCCTCTGCCCATTCAGTGGTTAAGAGCTCAGCTGCTAACCAGAAAGTTGGCAGGTCGAATCCACTAGCTGTTCCTTGGAAACCCTATGGGGCAGTTCTAGTCTGTCCTATAGGGTTGCTATGAGTCGGAATTGACTCGATGGCAACGGGTATGCCCATTCCTGCAGCCATTTCTGTGCCTCAGGATTGCTTGCAAAAAAACACAAAGTAGAATTCTACTTTATCTATATTTGCCCCTCTCCTGCCCTTCTTTTAAATGCCATTTTTTTATTGAACAAGCAGGAATGATATTTAAACATAGACATATTTGCGACCTGTCGTCAAACAAAGTACAGACATTGAGATTCGGGATTTCATTAGCCGGAGGTTAATAGACGCGTATGTTTATTTTAAAGAAGGAGGGCTATTAATTAGAAACGGCAAGACTTATCTCTAACATAATGAGGTGTGTTTCTGAGCAAGAATCGGTTTGTGATGATCAATATTAACGAGGATGAAAGAGCAGGAAAAATATCTTGTCACTTTAAAAACGTAATCACTTAAAAGGGGGTGAGATTTTTTGCCATGGAAATATTTTATTCACACTTTTCTGATGTCGTGATTTAATCGAAATTGTTGCTGTTGGTTGCTGTCAGGGGGGAGAGTCTCATAAAAATCACATACACATCAACTAATTTTGTTGACATAAATAAATATACCAATTGTCTCTTTGCTTTCCATTCTCCCCTTCCCCTGGGTCTATTTAACCAAGGCAAGTTTTATTCTAAATTCTTTTAAGATGTGTGCTAGGACAAGACAAAACAAGAAAGCTGCTTTTCAGATAGGTGGCTCTAAAATAACTTTTCAAGTACTGAAATGCAAATTAAAGCAACAGGAGGTAATATCGATTAATAAATAGTGTTTGTCTGGAATGCTCTTAACATTTATGAGCCAAGTTTTCAAGCAGAGGTTTCTAAGGCAGCAAGAAAAGAAAAAACTTGCCCTACAGAGGGCCCTGAGGGGGAAAGACCTATGCTATTTACAGAAAAGACTCCACAAAATTTCATTTTAGTTGGGAGACCTTGGTACAGTTCTTTATTTAGATCATTATATAATTATCGTGTGCCATCAAGGCAGAAGAACAGAGCATTTTTCTTCTGAAAGTGTGTATGTTTTTATTAATGTTTTTAAGAAAAGTTATTTTAAATGCCTAATCCAATTAAGCTGTTAAAATATTGGTTTTGCTTAATTTGTCTTTCTTATTAAAAATTATCTCATCTATCATCTTAGGTAATTTTTCTTCATTAGTGTGTATATTAATTTTATAATTTGCTTTTGTAACAAATTACCAAAAACAGCTTAACACAAATATAATATCTTACAGTAGGTCTCATTGAACTAAAAAATCAAGGCGTCAGCAGGCCCATATTTCTTTCTGTAGGCTCAGTTCTGTAGGAACAGTTTGCTTGCCTTTTCCAGCTTCTAGAGGCTGCCCGCATTCCCTGGCTCATGGCCACTTCCTCTCTTTTCAAAGCCAGCAATAGCTGGTCACATCCTTCTCACACCACTTTGACCTCCTCTTCTGCCTTCCTCTTCCACTCTTCAGTACTCCTGTGATTAGATTGTTTCCCCCCATAATCCAGGATAATCTCCCTATTTTGAGGTCAGCTGATTAGTAGCCTTAATTCCCTTTTGCCACATACTATAATGTACTCACAGGTTCCAGAGATTAGGATGTCTACATCTTTGGGGAGGCCATTATTCTGTCTACCACAGTATGTCTTACCAATATTTAAGAAGAGTCTTCTGAGAAAGGACCAGAGCAATTTGGGTAGAGATATCATTTGTGTAGTGCCATTACATCAAAATTACGTCCACATTGCATTGTCACTGGTGACAATGCTGCAGCTATTATGATGCAAAATATTCATTCCTCTTTTGGTTGCATTTAAATTGATTCCCATATAATCTTTTTCCAGTAATGATTTTTATATTCTTACATTATCATCTCAGGATATAACTACCATATATGATTAATGGGCTCATCAATCTCTGTGGCCTGTCCAGAAATTTACTGAGATGGGGAGGGTTATTTGAGATAGCTTAGCACAGTGTTCTCAGGGTGATTTTGCTTCCCCAGGGGACGTTTGGCAGTGTCTGGAGACATCTTTGCTGGTCACAACTTGGAGGCAGGGGTGCTACTGGCATCTAGTGAGTAGAAGCAGGGATGCTGCTAAACATCCTACAATCACAGGACAGCCCCCACCACAAAGAATTTTCCAGCCCACAGTGTCAATAGTGTCAATGTTGAGAAACTCTGGCTTAGCAAGACAGCAACCTAAAGGCCTTTTTTTATTTTTTAGAGAGAAGGCTAACTTCTTAGGTTTCTAAGATGAATTAGATAATTGGTAAGGAACTAAAATTTTCATCAAAAGAACTGGAGGAAACAGAGAAGGTGGATGGATCAGTGCATACTAGTCTTTCTAGGAAAAATTCAAAGCTCAAGAAATATTGTTGGGCCAGAAAGCTCATCATCTTCTATAGGGTGATGAGGAATCAGCTCTTATTTATCTCTATCCCGGGTACCCAGCACAGTGCCTGGCGATATTAGATTCCCAACAGGTGTTTCAACAAGAAGGATAGTTTTTTAAAGGATTTATTTACGTATGTTTATGTTATGTATACAGTAGTAAACAAGGTGTTTTCCTTCTGTATACCTAGTGTTGCAACATCACATAAGGAGACATCTTGGACTCAATTTGACCATTAGCACTAAGGTCGCAGTTGTTTAGTCAAGGAAGCGGTTTCCCTGAGCTCTCACTTTAAGATAGAAATCATAGGTTATTAGAAGATTTGCACATACTTCTTAGCACCACATCCTGGAAAGTCCTAAAAAATTTTAATTTTAGTATTAAAAGTAAACTCAACCAAAGGCCATTGGGAGGTAGACCAGCAACCCCCAGCTTCTCAGCTGTGTTATACTCTCACACTCTGGTATTTCTTGGGTATTTTCTGCAGGCTTGGGCACACACTATGGAAGAATCAACAGAGCCTTTCCACTGGTGGCAAGGCTAGGCCTATACCTACCAAGCATTCACACAAGCCTTTGGGGTCTTGCACCCGTGATGAAAAGCCTGATGTGAAAGATAATGTACTGCAAAAAAATAAGCATGACTTGGGGGCTGAATGATGACACTGGTGCCCTTCTCTCTTGGTTCTCAATTCTGCTTTTCTATTTTAATTAACTTTGCAGATGTCCCTGGCTCCATGCCCAACGCGTCCTGGACCGGTAACCTCAGAGCTGTGAAGTGGAGTGACATGGAGGGAAAGCACGGGGGCTGCCACGGTGAGCATTCCTTTCAGGCCATCAGGTTCCCAGGCTTGTTGGTGTTAAGAAGAAGGTAGCTGTGGAATACAGAGCTGTTCATGGAGAAAGAACTGCTGGTATATTTAGATGGATCTGTTCATTTTTAAGTAGAGAAGCCAGAGGCACAGTCTTTGAGGTCCTTAAAAAAGAATGTTCTCACCACGCCCTTCATGTCAGCGCTTCCTTGGGGCTTGTAAAGCTGGGGGTGTTTGCCATAGCTCTGGCCTGATGGGAGGTGACACTAACGAGGTTTCTCCTCCAAATGGACAAGAACTAAAAACCCTAGGAAGTTTTCATTTCTATAGACCCTTATGGAGAAGGATTTTTGTTGGTCCTGGCACTTTTCTTTCTTTTCATTATTTTTTTTATCGTGGTAAATATATATGAGGAGTTCCTGGGTGGCGCAAACGGTTAAGCTCTCAACTACTATTTGAAAGGTTGGTGGTTTCAATGCACCGAGAGGAGCCTCTAGAAGTTCTAACATACTTTCCATTTAGACTATTGCCTGGTACATCGTGGGCATGCGATAAGTACTTATTCAGTGAATGAGGGAATAAGTGAATGAATGGATGAGTCAATATGGAGTTTGAGCCTTCTCGCCTTCTCTCCCTGTGGTAACAAGACTTTGCCTCCACTCCTTCTCTCAATCTATGACTTCACTCATCAGTCCATCTTCCCTACACCTGACATTTCAGGTGAAAACTGCATTGCTGCATCTCTACAGATCTCCATTACACCCAACGTCTTCCTCATCTCTTGTTTTCCACTGTAGAGGACAACCTTGTCACATCACTGTATAGAAATTCCAGTCGATTCTCCAACATCTTCCTACCTTTGCCTTCATCAGTCCTCTTGTTCCCTGAGAGGACCCCGTGTGCCACCTGCGCATATTCCTATCACAGCCTGTACTTGTAGAAGGAGGAGATAGGAGGTTCCTTTGCTCTTTGATCTCCTGGGTCTTTAGGAAACTGACCATCACTATCAGTCATATTCTGAATATTTGGGATATACTGTCTTCTCTAGATCCTTCCACCAGCCACTATCACTTTCTAGGACCACTTCAGTCATCCTGTGAGTTGCTTGTCCGCCTTCTTACTGGCTGTAACGCTTGAGGACTCCAGCACCCACAACAGTGACCCGTGTGACGTCATTACCTTGCAATTCTAACCCTCCTCCACTACAGAAGCCCTGTTCCACTGTGCCTCAGTCACCCTCAGGTAGGGCCGTACCCTGAGGTCCTTGTGATTACCTGTATCCCGGCCCTATCTCAATAGAGAATGTTTCGACTAGTTTGGCTTGTACTTTTGGAGACAGCTTCATCATCGCATTACAGGTGGAGACCATGAGAGTAGGCCCTAGCTCAGCGTACAAGGTTAGGTAGCCCAACCCTCTCTGATAAATGTCTCATTTTTTTTTCTCTTAATACCTGTTATACCAATGAACATCTGAAAGCCCCATATGATTCAGAGCATAAAAATTATCTAGTCCCCAAAACTACTATTTTGGGAAGAGAAAAAGACATAATCCCAAGGAGATGAAAGATTACATGCCAAACCAATGACTCAGTAGTACAGTCTGGACCTTTTTCCCTTGTGTGTGGGTAATAGGACTTGTTCCAAGACTATTTCTGTACTCCTCTTATACCCAAATTTTTTTTTAAAAAAAACATCAAACTTGTTGCTGTGCAGTCAATTCTAACTCATAGCAACCCTACTGGACAGAGTAGAACTGCCCCATAGGGTTTCCAAGGCTGTAATCTTTACAGCAACAGACTGCCACATCTTTCTTCTGCTGAGCAGCTGGTGGGTTCGAACTGCTGACCTTTCAGTTAGCAGCTGAGCACTTTACCACTGCACCACCAGGGTTCCTACCCTCTTTCTAAACCCTGTCAACACTCAGAATCACAGAGCACCATTCTAGTTCTGTGGTCTTGAACTTGGAGCTGCCATCTCTGAGTATAATCTCTTTGTTACTTCTAACTAGTTTTCTTCACCAACTTGCATACTGTATATTTTACTGTCTTTCTCCCCAGAATAGAAACTCCAGGAGAACTGGGATTTTTTTCTTTTTAACCAGTTTATTCTTTGCTATATCCCTTAGCACTCAAAACACGTTGGTTTGTTTTTTTTAATTTATTTGTTCTTTAAATTGAGGTTACCAGGAGTTCAACTCTTTAGCTTCCTCCTTCTACTAGTTCTCTTCTGAGGATTCCCATATAGTATAATCAGCCACTTCCACACTTTCCCTACCAACATTTTAGGTTCCCTTGACATTTAGGCCCTACAAGGCTGATTCCTGAGAGTCATCATTGCCACCAGTTGCTTTTTCCCATTTGTGTTTTCTTAGGCAGGATGTTGCTGGAGAATGTTACAGAACTGTCCTAAACGCATCCACTATGGAACCAGTTGTCAATGAGTCAGCTTCAGCTCGTGGAGGTCCCACATGTGTCAGAGTGGAACTGTGCTCCATAGGGCTTTCAATGGCTGATTTTTTGGAAGTAGATCACCAGGCTTTTCTTCTGAGGCACCTCTGGGTGGACTTGGACCTCCTACCTTTCGGTTAGCAGCTGAACTCTTTAACCGTTTGCACTGCCCACTGACTCCTGGTGAACTGCTATTCAACTTCAGCAAGGCTCTCCTTGCTGCCTACTTATTTTCATTTCCTTCATCATTTTCCTGGTGCCCTTCCCAGGGTACACCTTTGCAGTGTTTTGCTCACCTTTAAGCTCTCAATCTTGTGCAAAATCAGTTTTTTCACTCTCTAAAGATGATTATTTCAACTTCAGGAAGAACTTGGAGGACATTTGCAAGATTCCCTTACCAAGTCCCTAGTCATCACCTCCCTTCCCTCTGTCTTAGAGTGTTTTTGTTCCCTCCTGTTTCAAGAGGGAAAATTACCCATCCACCTCTGTGGTCTGGGTTATCTGTGGGCTCCCCTAAATTATCCCCTTGCACACTTGCATTTTCAGCCTCTCCCTCTCTGCTTTGCCTTATCTGCAAGCATGTACCTGGTGCCTCCATCCTGAAGATCAAGCTGTCTATCAACCCTCTGTCTGTTCCAGACTGAAATATTTCTTTCCTTGCTCACTTGAGTTTTCTTAAGCATGCAAATGATGATCATGCTGTTGGCTTTTCTCACCGCCCAGCTATTCTCTCACTTCCCTCAGTCCTGGCTTCTTTCTCTGTTGCTCTCACTACTGTACTTCTCCCCAACCCACACTGAGTTAGTAATCACCAAGTCCTGCCTGTCTCTAGACTTAACGTCTTTTCTTACCCATCCACAGGGCCATTCACTTTCAGTAAGAGCTGCAGTGTTTTTGTTTGCTTGTTTGGTTTGGTGCAACCATCACCACCATTTATTTCCAAAACGTTTTCATCATCTCAAACAGAAACTCTATACCCCTTCAGCATTAACTCTTCATTTCCCCCAACCCCGTAAACTCTAATCTACTTTCTGTTTCTATGCATTTATCTATTCTAGATATTCCATATCAGTGGGTTTGTCTTAGTCATCTAGTGCTGCTCTAACAGAAATACCACAAGCAGATGGCTTTAACAAAGAGAAGTTTATTCTCTCACACTCCAGTAGGCTACAAGTCCAAATTCAGGGCATCAGCTCCAGGAAAAGGCTTTCTCTCTCTGTCGGTTCCAGAGGAAGGGCCTCGCGATGCATCAGTCTTGGTCTGGGAGCATCTTAGCGCAGGAACCTCAGGTCCAAAGAACGCGCTCTGCTCCCGGCACTGCTTTCTTGGTGGTATGAGGTTCTCGTGTGTCTCTGCTCACTTCTCTCTTTTATCTGGCAAAAGAGATAGGCTTAAGACACCATCTACTCCTGTAGACCTCATCACTATAACTGCCCCTCATCCATCTTACTACATCATAGTGATAGACTGTACAACACATGAGGAAATCACATCAGATTACAAAATGGCACACAATCATACCATACGGGGAATCATGGCCCAGCCAAATCGATACACACATTTTTTGGGGGACACAATTCAATCCATAACAAGGTTCACTGAATGTTTGTCCTTTTGTATCTGATTTATTTCACTCAGCATAACATTCTCCATGTTCATCCATGTTATAGCGTCTGTCAGAACTTTATTTCTCTTTGTGGCTGAATATTATCCCCTTGTCTGGAAACACCACGTTTTGTTTATCCATTCGTCAGTTGATGGACTTGTGGGTTGTTTCCACCTTTTGGCTATATTGTGAATAGTGGTGCAGTGGACATTGTTGTACAAATATTTGTCTGAGTTCCTGCTTTTAAGTCTTTTGGGAATACGCCCAGGAGTAGAATTGCTGGGTCATATGGTAATTCTATATTTAGCTAAGTCTTTTGAGTATATGCTCAGGAGTAGAATTGCTGGGTCATTTGGTAATTCTATATTTAGCTAAGTCTTTTGGGTATATGCTCAGGAGTAGAATTGCTGGGTCATTTGGTAATTCTATATTTAGCTAAGTCTTTTGGGTATATGCTCAGGAGTAGAATTGCTGGGTCATTTGGTAATTCTATATTTAGCTAAGTCTTTTGGGTATATGCTCAGGAGTAGAATTGCTGGGTCATATGGTAATTCTATATTTAGCTAAGTCTTTTGAGTATATGCTCAGGAGTAGAATTGCTGGGTCATATGGTAATTCTATATTTAATTTTTTGAGGAACCTCCAGACTGTTTTCCACAGCAGCTGCACCTTTCCTGTTTCATTTTTCTCTCTCTAGACAAAATAAATCTATAGAATTATCTAGGTCATATATAAATAATTAATGTAATAATTTAATACAGTGTAAACTAATAATATAAATAAAATATAATTGTCTCTCCAGACAATTTTTGTGCCCATTTCACATCTAAGATATTACTGCTGTCTCTTGATAGACTTCTAATGTACTCTGTAAAGTTAATCTTGCTGAAATCAATTTCATTATTTTATTCTGCCATTCAGAAATCATTAAGGTTTCCCCACGCATCCTTAAAAGGCCAAATCCTTTAGTCAGCTAATTCAGTCAACTGGTATTTATTCTACTATGTGCTAAGCAGACCATGAGAAAAACAGGTCCAGCTTCCTGTCATTCTGTTTCTAACCTACTTCCCAACAAAATGACCTATTCTAGCAGAAAATTTCCATCTCTACAATTTTTCCAGAGAGACTGCCCCAGCCAAAGCCACCATCCAGCCCCCTGATCCTTCCTAATCCTATCCATCCACTAACTTTTCCAGTTCTACTCATCCTTCTCCATCGTTTTATTTAATAACTATTCATTCAGCCCCTAAGATTTACCAGGCACTGTTCCAGGTGCAGGAGTCCCTGGATGATGCAAACAGTTAATGCACTTGACTGCTAACCAAAAGGTCAAAAGTTCGAGTCCACCCAGAGGCATCTCTGAAGAAAGGCCTGGCAGTCTACTTCAGAAAAATCAGCCACGGAAAACCCTATGGAGCACAGCTCTAGGCTGACACACATGGGTTCTCCATGAGTCAGTCGACTCCATGGCAACTGGTAACATTAATACTAGAGAGTAAATAAAACTGATGATGTAAGAAACTGTAACTTGCAAACAATTGTAAACTCTCACTCTCTTCTGAAAACAAAATAATTCACAGTAGAGGACACAGAAGTGAAGAAAATGGCTTGAAATCCCAGCCCTCCTGGTGCTAATAGTCTAGTCTGGGAAGAAAGACAGTAAGTAATTGTCCAGGAAGAGAGACGATAAATGAATTTTTTTTTTTCCTTCTTGGCACTGTTACGTATCAGCTGGTAAACAAACAAACAAGCAAAAACCAAACCAGTTGCTGTTGAGTTGACTCCGACTCATAGTGACCCTATAGGACAGAGTAGAACTGCCCCCATAGGGTTTCCAAGGAGTGGCTGATGGATTTGTAAGTGCCAAAAGAAAAGTGAACCAGGGAAGAGGGAGAGGAGGGCAGGGAAGGCCTCACTGAGAAGGTGGCCTTGGAGCTGAGGCCTGAGCTTGTGTGGGAGGGGGCCTTGAGGGTGTCTGGTGGAAGGCAGTCCAGGGGAGGAACAGCCAGTGCAGATTCTCAGGTAGAGCATGCCTGGTGTGCTTGGGACTAGCAAGGAGGCCAGCATGGCCAAAGCGAATGAGCAAGGGTTCGAATGGGAGGTGTGGTGAGTCCACCATGATAATGAGAGGCTGGACTTTGAGGAGTCTTGGGTGTCATTGTCAGGATGTTGACTTTTTCTCCATGTGAGATGAGAAGCCATTACAGCATTTTCAACAGAGGAGACATGTTCTATTTACCTTTTAAAACAATCACTCTGGATCTTGTGCTGAGCATATACTAACAGGGCAAAGGTAGAAGTAGGGGAGACCAGTTATTGTTACAATAATTCAGATAGGAAGATGGAGGTAGCGGGATCAGGGTGGTAGTAGTCGAGGTGGTGAGAAGTGGTTAAATTCTATAAATATTTTGAAGACTGAGTTGGAGAATTTGCTGATAAATTGGATGTGGGGTGTGAAAGAAAGAAATGCCTGGGGCCTTGAAGAATAGAATTGCCTGACCCAAGCAATGTGTCATGGATTGAACTGTGTCCCCCAAAAATATGTATCAACTTGGCTAGGCCATGATTCCCAGTATTGTGTGATTGTCCATCATTTTGTCCTCTGATGTAGTTTTCATATGTGTTGTAAATTCTACCTCTGTGATGTTAATGAGGCAGGATTAGAGGCAGTTATGTTAATGAGGCAGGACTCAATCTACAAGATTAGGTTGCATTTTAAGCCAATCTCTTTTGAGATATAAAGAGAGAAGCAAGTAGACAGGCATGGGAACCTCATACCACCAAGAAAGCAGTGCTGGGAGCATAGCACACCCTTTGGACCTGGGGTTCCTGCACTGAGAAGCTCCTAGACCAGGGGAAGGTTGATGATAAGGACCTTCTCCCAGAACCGACAGAGAGAGAAAGCCTTCCCCTAGAGGTGGCACCCTGAATTTGGGCCTCCAGCCTCCTAAACTGTGAGAGAATAAATTTCTGTTTGTTAAAGCCATCCACTTGTGGTGTTTCTGTTATAGCAGCACTAATAACTAAGACAGTATGGTATTTTCAATCACCTCATATACATGCAAAAGTTGGACAATGAATAAGGAAGATCGAAGAAGAATTGATGTATTTGAATTACAGTGATAATGAAGAATATTGAATATACCGTGGACTGTGAGAAGAATGAATAAATCTGTCTTGGAAGAAGTACAGCTAGAATGCTCCTGAAAAGGGAGGATGGTGAGACTTCGTCTCATGTAATTTGGACATATTATCAGAAGGGACCAGTCCCTGGAGAAGGACATCATGCTTGGTACCCTCAATGAGATGGACTGACACAGTGGCTGCAACAATGGGCTCAAGCATAGCAATGATTGTGAGGATGGCGCAGGACGGGGCAGTGTTTCGTTCTGTTGTACACAGGGTGGCTGTGAGTCTGAACCGACTCGATGGCACCCAGCAACACCAACAACTGAGGAGGAAGACTTAGAGGGGAGCAGGTCTGCGGGGAGAGGATTAAGGAGTCCAGTCCTGGCATGTTAAATCTGTGAGGACTGTTACACATCTAAGTGGAGGAATAAAGTGGGCAGTTAGAGAAACTAGACTGGAAGTCAGGGAAGAAACTCAGGCTGGTGATAGAGAGCTTTCCCTGCCCAGTGCAACCCATAAAGACCTCTCCTGTCTGTTTACTTCTAGAACTCCTCATCCATAACTCTCATTTGATAACACAGAAATTGCCTTGTGACCTATTATATTATTGCCTTCTATTATTTGACTCTCTTTTTTTTTTCAAATATGTATTTTTACCTGTGCAGTAAAGAATTTAACTTTATCAAAGAATTTGGTCTTTGCCCTTGGTTCCTGAAAGAGAACCTCCAAAACCTTGGAATTTCCAGTGATTGGAGTGTCCTTGATGAGTTCTCCAGACCACACCAGATGGTTTATGCTAATGAGGTGCCTCTTGGACAAGGGCTGAGCAGATAAGAAAGACCAACCACTTGATAACGACCTCATCTCAGGGGAAGGAGGCTGAAGGTTGAGTTCAATCAATTATTGCTACATAATTGCTGTTGTTAGTTGCTGTCAAGCTGATTCCGACTCATGGCAACCTCATGTGTGCAGAGTAGAACCGCTCCATAGGATTTTCAAGGCTGTGACCTTTTGGGAGCAGATTGCCAGACCTGCCTTCTGGGGTACTTCTGGGTGTGTTCAAACCACCAACCTTTTGTCTACTAGTCGGCGCTTAACCTTTTGCTCCACCCAGAGACTCCCCTACATAATTAGAGCCCCACAAAGGCTCTGGATACAAAAACCGCATAGGCTTCCTGGTGGGTGAAACATCAGTGCACGTGGGAGGGTAGCATGTTCCTTTACGGGACGTGGAAGATCAGTGTTGGAGTCACTCCCAGACCTCGCTCTTGTCTCTTCATTTGTATCCTTTTTTGCTGTAGTGAAACTGTAATCGTAACTATAAGGAACCCAGGTGGCGCAGTGGTTAAGCACTTGGCTGCTAACGAAAGTTCCTCGCTTCAAACCCACTAGCCACTCTGCGGGAGAAAGATGTGGCAGTCTGCTTCTGTAAAGATTACAGCCTTGGAAACCCTATGGGGCAGTTCTACTCTGTCCTACACGGTCGCTATGAATCGGAGTCGACTTGACGACAACGGGTTTTTAATTCTAAGTATAGTGCTTTCCTGAATTCTGTGAGTCAGAATTCAAACCCAAGAGAATAGTAGGAGCCAGGAGGTCAAAAGTGAGGGGGCCTGGGTACCCCATGCTTGCGGCTGGCCTCTGTATTCTTGGGCAGACTTGGCCATCTGGAGGACTGTGCCTTTTAACTTGTGACGTCTAACCTAGCCTCAGGTGGTTAGGTCAGAGGAAGAAGTACGGAATGTGCAGTTAGGAATGGAATTGAACAGATTTGAATTAGAATATAATAGATCGCATTGATCAACACCCTTGGTGTCAGAGGAGTAAGAAGTAGGTTGAATTTTATTGCATTGATCCTTCCCGTACTGCTTGTCTTTCTAAATACAGTTTAACTTCTTTGTGGACTAGACTACATGCTCATTTGAATCCTGTAGCATTTGGCACAGTTTTTGCTCCTCGGAATCAGGCAATAACTCCACTTTATGCAAGTTCACTACCCTTGACTTTGGAGAGCAAGCATGTTTTGACTGTGTCTTCTGTTCTCTTCTTTGCAGGCCACTACGTACATGGCATTTGTATCTATGGAAATGGTGACTTAAAGTGGCTGATTAACTCACCGTGCCTGTTCGCTAATAAGTTTGAGCTGAACACGTACCCCCTGACTGTGGAATGCCTAGAACTGAGGCTTCGAGAGAGAACCCTAAATCAGAGTGAAACTGCAATACAACCTAGCTGGTATTTTTGATCTGCTGCAACTCACGGCTCCAGGGGCAGCCCAGTTGGGAAGAAGAGCCTCTCCTTGTGAGAGACATTTGCCTTGGTTGTGTGGACAGCTTCAGGACCATGGTGATGGCTTCAGGACTTGGCTGCATCATTATACTTTTAAATGTCCACTGTACACTGTGAAATAAGCAAACAGGATGGCTGGTTCGAGTGGTCCTGGCTCTCTGGCCATTCTGGTGGTCCCTTGACACACACCTCCCCGTGGGCAATCGTGATGATCATATCAACTCACTGTCTCAGAACTCTGCACCAGATATCCATCATATAGAAATGTTCTAATGAAAGGAAAATTGTTTGAGGTAATGCTATCTAGAAAAATAAGAATTGGGTTTCTTTGAAGAAGGAATATTTTATAACCGAACTACAGTTACACTATGATATGTAGATACCACTCTTCTTCCCTCAACCACACATAGGCATAGAAACAGCTTTCTAAGTACTTACCAATCTCCTTTTCATGCCCGAAGGTACATATAGTGACCATGAACCTTTTCAGCCTCTGGGGTTTATTGGGAAGCCGCTGCACCACTGACAGTGTGTGCCACCACAAGGCAGGGGCCTTATGACTGAAACCGAAGGAAGAGGCGTGTGCCGCAAATTACTGTTTTTACAGGGTATTGTATGAGGAGGTGTCTGAATTTGGGGCAGGAAAAATAGAAATTTTGAAAATTTTAATTGTTACACATATGTACCTGTAGACCCCAGTGGGGACTCTGGGGCATCATTAGTGGTACTTATATGTACCATTGAACACTTAAGGTAGGCTTGTGGGAGGGGACAAGAAAAAAAAAAAAATCCATACTAACTTAAACCAAAAATTCAAACACACTCAATGACTCCACATGCTTCCATTAATGAAAACTCATGGTATCCACAAAAAATTCAAAGCAGAAAATAATTGGGTCACCAAAGGGTTAAATCTTGAGCTACTGGGGTTGAGAACTGAGCTTGTTCCTGAGTTTCAACACCAGTGTCTTTAGCTCGCCTATGTCCGTTGTTGTTGTTATTAGTTGCTGTCAAGTTGATTCCAACTCATGGCAACCTCATGTGTGCAGAGTAGAATTGCTCCTTAGAGTTTTCTAGACAGATCCTTTTGGAAGCAGATCACCAGGGCTGTCTTCCAAGGAACCTCTAGTTGGGTACAAATAGCCAACTTTTCAGCTAGACGTCAACTACTTAACTGCACCTGTGTCTAAAGTTGTGTATAAAAAATTAAAAAAAAAACCATTACCGTCAAGTCAATTCTGACTCTATACGACAGAGTAGAACTGTCCCATAGGGTTTCCAAGGAGCAGCTGGTGGATTCAAACTGACGACCTTTTGGTTAGCAGCCGAGCTGTTAACCACTGCGCACCAGGGCTCCAACTCATGGTGAGTTGTGTATATAGTAATACAAAGTGATTAACAAAAGATAGGATGTGCTTTAAGACAATAATCATTGCCTGCTTGATTCAGTGAAAGGAACTCCAGGAAATAGAAGATTTCTCTGTTATATACCAGAATTTACTCTGATTCCTCTTCTATCATTTCCCATTGAGAACTGAAAAGCCCTTGTAAAAATGAAGACATTCCTCGAAAGAGGTGCTATGGCATGGACACACGTGCTTCTGCACACTGGGGCAGGCATGGAGTCTCCAGTCTCCAACACCTGAGAATGCATCACTTTCCTCTTCCGTGACTCCCTTATCCCCAAGATAATCTTACTTGCACAACGGAGACCAAGTTGTATCCAGCAAGGCTTTTAACTAGTCTGTAGTATTCTCTGAATAGCTTTACAGTGCCTAGTGCCGATAGAAGGAGCCCTGGTGGCGCAGTGGTTAAAGGCTTGGCTGTGAACCAAAAGGTCAGTTGTTCAAACCCACTGTCGCTCCATGGGAGAAAATGTGGCAGTCTGCTTCTGTAAAGAGTTACAGCTTTGGAAACCCCGTGGGGCAGTTCTGCTTTGCCCTGTAGGGTCATCATGAGTTGGAATCCAGTTGACCGCAACGGGTTTTGTTTTTGGTTTTGGGTTCTGATAGAAGTGCCTGGATTTCTACCAGCTTTCAAATGTAGGTGAGCATCTCCATCGCTTATCCCTTGCCATTTGTCCAATCATTCATTCAGCATGCATTCAATAAATATTTCATGGGTGTCTACTATGTGTCTGACACGTGCATCGTCCCTCTAAAAATCTTGGAAATAATGCCAACATTGGAAAGCCTACTCTAGAGAATCTTACAAAGTGGCTGAATTTGAAGACATTCATATGGTATACACATGATTGCGATATCAGTGTGTACATTGTGATATCAGCCCAAGGAGAACAAGAGAGAGAAGGAAGGGAAGAGGCAGAAGCTATTGTGTTCCAGGCATGGTGGTAGGCCCTTTGTATATCTTATTTCATTCCAATCTCAAAACAATCATTTTTCAGATGAAGTAACTTCAGACTTAGAGAGATTAGGAAACAAATTTCACTGCCTGAGAATTGGAATTCTCTTACTGGTCTTCTCAGTTCATTTCCTGGGGTGGAATTTTGAGAGAAGGTGGAATGAAGCCATATTTAGTATTCCAGAGAAAGTAGGATTTGAGCATGGTCTCAGTGTTCATGCTCAGAAAAAGTCCCGTCACCTCAGAAAAATGTGAAGTCTACTTTAGTATTCTTCTAATTCACTGAGCTCCTAAATATTTATTTATTCTAACGAAACAGTTTTTACAACTAATAATGCATTTAATTAACAGTTTTTTTTTCTATAATTGTACCTGTTGAATGTTAATCATATTTAAAGGGAATGACTTTGAAGTAAAGCTTTTTTTTTCCTGCTACTGAAAAAAAAAGGAACTCTATTGGGTGGTAAAAGATTGAGGGAAACTCACCCAGGGTTAACAGAGGACAGTAAACATAGTCTCTTTTCAACTTATTTAAATGATGACACCTGAAAAGAAGAAATGTTTTACACTGGATCTTTCTCATGGAGAATGAGAAATCTTTCTGGAATATTTAGCTTTAATACATTGTTAGTTGCTGGCATGTCTCCTATGTCTTCACAGGTAAGTGCGTTAAGATCGGGAGAGTGTTGCGTTTGGCTAATGGATTTCGGCTAGCCTGTGGGCATGCCTTGAAACTACTGTATCGGTCTTTGTTTTCAATGATGTTCCGTGTTTTGTTTTCCTGGAAATAAATTAATATATTGGTTTCCACCTTTGGGAATACTGTTTATTTTTATTTCTTTGTTGGTTAAAATCCATTAAAGGCATGTTTAATAAGGCAATTCTCCTAGCATTAAAAAAATAATAATACATCTATACATAGATACATACATGCGTACCTGTCTGAGAAACATCACCCTCAGGAAAATAATTTTTCCCTTTATGGAGGTTGGGGAAGATGATTGGGAAAGATAGAAAAGAGAATATAATGGAAGATCAGTTTTGTTTTAATTGGGTACAACTATTTTAAAATGTGAGACAGGAATGAGTTATCTTTCTATATTCACCTGTTTTATTTTTTTTAAATCAAGAGACAATTGAGGAAAAAGATTCATGTTAATATTGCCATAATCACTATCAAATGCCAAAGTTTTTGAGCTGCATTTTTTTTTTACTTTAGATGAATGTGCATAGAACAAATAGTTTCTCATTAAACAGTACACGTATTGTTTTATGACAATGGTTAACAACCCCACGACATGTCAACGCTGTCCCTTCTCAACCTTGGGTTCCCTATTACCAGCTTTCTTGTCCCCTCCTGCCTTCGAGTCCTTGTCCCTGGACTGTTGTGTCCTATTAATCTCGTTTTGTTTTACGGGGCTGTCCCCACAGCCCTCCACCCAGCAGTTCAGTCCCTCAGGGAGTTTGGATGTGTCTATGGAGCTTCCATGACCTTTCCTTGTACAAGTTGTGCTGGCTTCCCCAGTATTGTGTACTG